ACTCCAGCTCCAGATCACCCTCCGCTGGATACCATGGGTACCTGTGTTCATCTGTGTACATACCTCAAACAAATACACGTATATTCCATAATTTTAAGGAATTAAATATTAAAATAATTTCTTTTTTAAAATGCTGCTGAATAAGTGATATATTTCGATTAAAGCTTCCAAATGTATTAGCATATCATTGAAAAACACCATGTCCTCTGATTTTGAATTTATAAGATAATAAATACTGAAAAATTATATACTTAAGATCTTTTTAATATTGAGAGTATAGAAGAGATTCTTTAGAATAAATAGAATTATATGCTTGCAATATCATTTGAGTATTAATCAACAGTGTTTTTTCCTCTCCATTTTTTATATCATACGGTAGCTAACTATACTTCATCTGTTTTCTCTTCCTTAACTTTTTACCTCAAGCTGATAAGAAAATTTAACCAAAAGAAAATGTATATGGAAAGGATTAGGATTTTTATAAGGTGGAAAAACATGTTGAACTTATATAGTCTAGAATTGTTCCCTTTTTGGTTTGCTGACAGTATGTGTGTTTTGGCTTATGCAGTGGCCTTTAGAAATATCACGGATCATTGATTTGAGGAAATAGCATGTGTGGTTTTAGTTAACACTTCTATATGAATGATTTCCAAGTCTATCTCAGCAGTCCTATATGAATGATTTCCAAGTCTATCTCGACAGCCGTGACCTCTGGTTTGCTTCCCTGGTTTCCATTTCTTGCAATCTGATAGAATCTCTTCTTGGAAACATTGCAGAAACCTGAGGGAATTGGTGGTTTATTTGTCAAGTTAACAGAATCTAAAATCACCTGGGACAAGAGCCTCTGAGAATGTCTGTGTGGGATAATCTTAATTATGATCATTGATGTAGAAGAACACACTCACTGTGGGTAACACCATTCCCTGGGTTTGGAGTCCTGGACTGCTTAAGAGAGGTGACAGCAAGCTAAGTTCTAGCCTGCATGCATTAGTTCTCTGCTCTCTGCTTTTGATTTTGGATGTAACACAGCCAGTTCTCTCAGGCTCTGTCACTGTGACTTTCCTTTCATGATGGACTGGGAGTGGGAGTCAGATAAGCTTCCAAGAATGGAGTTGGCTTTTGTCATAATTTATCACAGCATCTGGAAAGGAAACTAAGGTTCTCTTTGAAAACAAATTTACAATTTACCCAAGTATTATAGACTTTTATACCAGTCATTATACCACTAACTCTTCCTACAGCCTCCAAAAATAGTTATACCAGCTAATTACCAAGTGTTTAAACCAACGGTGTCTTCTAATGTAGAATGCTTTTATTCCAACCTCAGAAATACCAAAGTTTTATCGTTCAAACAAAGTGTCTGAGACTCCAGTATGTGAACCCCATCCAAAACATACTTTTAAGTTACTTACATCCATAAAATGGCACAGAGTAAACCCATTCCAAAGAGAAGGGGTAAGAAAATAACAAGAAAACCATAGCCTAAATCAAGACTGAAGCACAGCAGGACAAATGTATACCCTGTAGCACCATCTGGCACTGAGGGCTCCCTATAACAGTAATCAGAGGCCAATAGACGTGGTTGCTGAACTCCATGGTCTTCTCACCAGCAGCAGCACGCATTCACTTTCTCTTGGATTGGCTTTAGTTGGTATCTGAACTTTCCTTTGACTGTGTACCAGATTACTGTCATCTTTAGCCTCTTGCTGAGGTCTACATAGCAACACAAGCCTGACCTTCATAGCTTTGCATAGTAGCGTTTCAGAGCCTCTCTTCAAGAAATATGACCCAGCCACGCATTACCTAGTATCACCAGCTTTTTTCTGGAACCTTAGAACAAGCCTTCATAACTCCCTTTCTCAAGTTGTGTCATAGGATGATGGTAAATTCTGCTGTTGCTGCTGCTGTTGCTTAAGATGTAGTCTGGCTACTTTAGACCATTGCTGCTGTGTCATCTCTGTGCCTTCGTGGCTGGATCTCAGAAAATATTCCCAAGGCAATTGTTTTCCACTAGTACACCATGGAAGTTCTACGTTTTTGAACACTGTCCTTTCAAATGAATGTTCTATAAGTGGGTGCTCTGTTTTATGTCTGTACATGAGTGAGGTATTATTTACAATTTTCCCCATGCAAAGTGTAAAGAAAGTACATGAATTCTCATTTATGGGGCTTTAACAATTACAACTGCTTTGTCCATGTTCACCTTGTCTGTGACTTTAACTTAGTTCATGTTTTCTTCTTTACCAAACTGAACATATTTGGCATCTTTTGGTTACTCTTTCTGCCCTTCTTTCTAAACTTGCTGTGACTGTAAATCTGGCTAAATAGCCACTCTGCAGCCTGGATGATACCTAGTCTAGAAATTTTCTCTTCCAAGCAAGTAGTCCACTGCTTTTTAATTCAGCTACACCCGGTCCTCAACACAGACAAGCTTGTGTCCAGATGACTTGCCAGAGTGTAACATGGATGGCCTCTAGGCTCATTTCCAATAGAATGCTTGCTCCATTTGAAACTTGATGAGAGACCGTTTATGGTCTCATTTCTGTTAGCATCCTGGTCTTTCACACTCCCGTCAGAATCATTTACTAAGCTTTCCATATAGCATTCTCAGACATCACTAACCTGTGACTCCAAAATTCTAAATTTTTCCTATAAACAAATCCCAGAGGCCTAGGAACATATGGTCAGGCTTATCATGGGTACTTTACTTCTTGGTCCTGATGTTCATTGACACACAATATCCAAAAGGTCCTTGAACAGTGTTACCAACTGGGTGAATCAATGACTCAAGCATGAGTCCAGATGAGACACACTACTTCAAAACTATACCACAGAAACTAAAATTTACTGACTTAAACTGATGCTCAATGCTAGTTATTTATAAGTTTCAACTTTGGAGTTGTCTGATTTAGATAAAGCCTTAGACTGTGTTGGCTAACACAAGTAAACTGTTACATGTTAACTATTAGATATTTTTATATTGTTATTATATTACAATTATATTGCTTAAAAAAGATTTAATTCTCAAACTTGTTGACCAATTAAGAAAAACAGGTTTAAAATAAGTAAGTCTGAGATATGTCTTTAGTTGCAGCACTTAGAAGGCAGAGGCAGGTAGGTCTGAGTTCAGTGCCAGCAAGTTCTAAGACATTAAGGGCCTTGTAGTGAGACCCTGTCCCAGAAATAAACACTGTCTCCCCACAAAATCCCTCTAAACCAAACAAGTGTACCAAATTCCAAAGGTGCCGTTCACTATTGTCTTTCAGTATTTAAAACAGTAATATTTTCCTTCTCTTTTTATTTTATGTTTTAAAATAAATTTTAAAAATTAAACCCTAAGTGTATAAAGAGACAGAAAAGTAAGTCTGATTTATTGTTTGATTCAAACTGAAAATACTGAGCCTTTAACTGTGATTCCTATATCGTCTCAAACAGTAGCCAAGAATATAGCTAATTAATTTCATAAACTTTACTTTTTAAAATTTTACAAATAAAATTTATTTTGATACACACACCCCTTCATTTTATCATGAATGTAATTTTGACATACACATCTAATATTAATTGATAAAAACACTCTTAGGAAGTAGAATGAGTTTTCTGTATTCAGAGTTTAAAAATTGGTTTAATGAAAACAATCACTGTAAAGATTTGATTCCAATTCCATAAGAAATCTGTGTTGAAATACAATGCAGCTGAGGACCTCTAGTGTCACTGCTAAATATGGCATTACTTTATAAGCTATTGTGAAGTGTGTGTGTGTGTGTGTGTGTGTGTGTGTTGTGAGAGAAGGAGAGGAAGGAGTGGGAGTGGGGACAGAGAGGGAGAGAACAAGAATAATAAGAGGAGCTAAAGTTAACAGATAGAGGCAAATGAGATGCTTAAACTATGTTTTTGTCATTTAAAACATTTTCTTAACATTTTAATTAAAATATATTTACATAACTTCCCCTTTTCTTCTTCCCCCTTCAGCCCCTCTCATATCCCCCAATTTCAAATAATAGCTTCTTTGGTAATTATTACTGTTACATATAAATAAATGCACAAGTATGTAAATACAGCCCATTGAGTACATTTTTTTGTTATTTGTGTGTATATGACTTCAGGGCTAATTAAGCTATATTAGATAACTAATAAGGGCAGTCATCTCCAAGGAAGGCTAATTCTCCTCTCAGCAGTCAATCATCTGTAGTTCTTGGTGGAGAGCTGGGACTCTGGGAGATTTTTACCCCTTCCTCATTAGCACATCTATTGATACTGTCATTTTTCAGGACTTGTTTATGAGGCCCCTTCTAAGTCAGTCTCACTGACATTCTCACTAAAAATCTTTCCATCCCCATCTTTAGTAGCCTTGCCTGAGCCATCTACATGCAGCAGCTGTGCTACAGATATGTCCATTGGGAAGATATATATTTTCATGGACTTAGATTCAAAGGTTTTCATTGATTTGGTCCAGATATTTTAAATATTCCTGGGTAATTTGGTAAGATAACCAGGCTGGTGAGTGACAAAAGCACCCTATTCTGCTATAAGTACTGTGTACTACTCAAATTAAAACCTTCCCTTGGAAAAAGAAAGATGGTTTCTATTGTAGCCCAAACTGTAAGATTCTATAGCACAACCAAACGTTCTAATTAGGAAGTCTAAAATATGTAGAATTAGATATGTGTGTATACATATGTCACATATACTTAACATAAATATATGTACACACGTGTTTGGTTTTTTGAGATAGGGTTTCTCTGTGCCTGTCCTAGAACTCACTCTGTAGACCAGGCTGGCCTTGAACTCACAGAGATCCTCCTGCCTCTGACTACCAAGTGCTGGGATTAAAGGTGTGTGCCATCACCACGCAGGGAAGTAGCTATTTTGAAGATGTATGTGCTCCACTGTGTCTGCATGGAAGAGCAGACACTAAATGCTTTTAGTACATCTCATTTCCCTTGAAACGGACTTTATTTACCTTGTAATTGATCTCTGATTTTTTGTTTTCTTTGTAGCTATACAAAGGTTTTGTGCATAGCATTTGAGGTACTTCAGGGCTTACAATACTTGAACAAGCATGGCATAGTACACCGGGCGCTGTCTCCTCATAACATCCTGTTGGATCGAAAGGTAATTTTCAGCTAATAATAGATAGTTTTATGTTGCTTGAGAATGAAAGCTACTGAAATCCTGCATTAATCAGAGAAATAAGACTAATAATATGTTTCAGAATAATACAGTAATAACTATAAAAATGATGTATTTGTAGCAAACAAAAAACTTTTAAAATTTATTGTTTGCCAAATTAAAATTTGTCATTTGTATTAAGATATTTCATAGTGATTTTCTCTCTTTTTCATTGTAGGGTCATATTAAACTGGCTAAATTTGGACTTTATCACATGACAGCTCATGGTGATGATGTCGATTTCCCAATAGGGTAAGGATTGTTTTCCTCTATTTTGAATTCTATCTTAACCTTGATGAACTTCGATAGTATATATTTGGTTAGTGGTTCTTGACATGAAAACAGTTTTCTTTATTTACTACATTTTATTTTTCTATATACTTCGTTAACAAGTAGACAATGAGTATTTCCCCAGTATCTCAAAGATTCCTGAATTGATCTTTAACAGAACAGAAACAAAGAGTCACAAATCATTGGCTGTGTTTACCTTATGATATTCCTTAATTAATTGCATGTCATTAAGAATTAAGTGGTGTCAGGTGAGAAAGCAGACCAGATTTTTAATGGTAGTGTGTTCATTTATAGGCTGGAAAGCGTCAGCTGTTTTACTTTCAGTTTAATGTTTTATGTTTATTTACTGTTCCTAGTTCCCAAAGACAGAAGTGTATTTTTAAATTCAAGTTGATTCATTGTGGGTATTGGAAGTAATGAGATAAATCACAAGTGTAGTAAAGAAGTCTATTTAATTGTTTCTGGTGTGAAATTCCAGATCTATGCTGCCTTCCGAGAAATGAGTGGAAATTTATTTATGGTATATTTAGATAAATGTTTCTTATAGAGACAGCTGTATTGTTGCATGATTCCTCTGAAACATTTTCATGATGTAATCCTTTCCCTTACATCTCCATTATTTTTAGCAAAAATAAGAAAAAGGATTTCTGATATCCTTCAGCTTCTCCACGTTAACATTTCACTGTTCTGAAATTGTCTCTCATCTCCTGTGCTTGAGTTTGTGTCTGTCTGATATTTCTGTGGCAGCCTGAGTAGACATTGGCTTTTTATCCCTAAAACTTACACTTATACTCTACAAGAGGGACTTCTCCTACATAGCTTCAGAATAATGATGAAAACGACCAAACCAAACTTATCTAACCTAGAAATCGTAATCATATTTATTCCCATGCAGTGTAACAGTTTTTGATAGTATTCCTTTGTGTTTGCTCCATGGGCTCTCAAAACTCCGTCCTCCACATAGTACCAGGAGTCTCATGGAGAAAATTCCCAAAGAAGAATATTGCTTAAATTTTTAGAATTTTTGGAAAATTTCCCCTTTATTCTAAAAACTTAGATTATGGGTTTATTTTTTCCTTTTTTTTTTCTTTTGCCTTTTTGAAACAGATTCTCTCTACATATCCCTGACTGTCCTAGAACTTATTGTGTAGACCAAACTAGCCTCAAACTCACAGAGATCCACCTGCTTCTGCTTCCAGAGTGCTGGATGAAGGTGTGTTCCACCATGCCTGGCCTGTAGGATTTTGGTTTTTGTTTAGTTTGTTTGTTGGTTTGTATCATTGTCTCACGCTGATCTGGAACTCACTGTATAATCCAGGCTATTGAGACTTCAGTTAGTAAGGAAACATTTATTGAGCAGTTTCTGTCCTTTATTTATTTTGTGCATAAAGCTAATACTAGTTCTCGACCTCAAATAACTTACTCTTCAGTTGGCAAATTTTCTGTACTGAGGGCTTATTTATTAAGATACAAATTCATAAACTTAACATTCCACATACATTCAATGGTAGAGAATAATTTTATTCAGAAACATAAAAATGATATAGTAATAATTAACAAGTGCCAGGCAGTGCACTCTGGAGGCAGAGACAGGTGGATCTCTGTGAGTTCAAGGCTAGCCTGTTCTATAAAGCAAGTTCCAGGATTTCCTCTAAAGCTATACAGAGATACCCTGTCTTGAAAAATAAACAGGAAAAAAAATAGTTAACAAGTTCTTATGGAAGAAAACATCTTTTTTTATTATAAGTTCATAGTTAAGTTCAAGCTTCTTCATTGAGTTATCATTACCATTTGCCATAAAGATCTATAATAAACATGAATACTATTACATCTGCATTTTTGTCTAATTCAATTTCTGTCAAAGAAAATAAAAATAACACAAAAGTTACTTTAAGTTTCTGACTTACATTTAAGATTACATTAGGTTTTGGTGATAAATTAGAAGTGAATTTTTACGGCGTATCAATCATTTGGTTTTAAATGCTTTTGTAGACCTGGTCTTGTGTTAGCATTCAGCACAACTTGCTTTGAAGTCTGAGTTTCAAAGAATCTTACTGGAAGCTATAAAGCACAAAGTGTGAAACCTTAGCCAGGAAAAATAAAATATGTGATCAAACAACGAGGCCAGAAAGAGCCTTTATGTCAGAGGAGGCTCACAGTCGCTGCTAGTGACAGATATTAAGGAACATAAGTGTTACCATCTGCTTAGAAATATTGGAAGGAGTTAGAAATTGGGCATTAATTTTGATTGGACAGTAGCTTAATACCCTGTTAAAACTGCAAATGATAAAAGCCACTTGTGTTTACCTTACCAGCCATGTTCAAAGTGAAGTTCTGGTAATTTTCGTTGAGTGTTAGAATGGGACACTTATATAAAGTTGCTGAAAGACAATGCCCTCCATTAAAGAGCCATTTTTAGGATCTTTATGAATTTCTGTCTGGTTAAAGAGGACCCAGAATTTTTAGAACAAGGGTTACTTCTATGCTTATGTCCAAAGTTTTTGGTGTACTAATTTAATTATAGCTTTGCTTGCCTTTTCATTAACTGTACTATGATTTTCAATTCATATATTGGAAGTCAGAAATAAAAGTGAATAATTTACCTTTTACAACATCGGATTTGTGTCACATATTCTATTTTTGTAGAGCATTTTATCTATTAATATTTACAACAATTTTGTGAGGTGGGCATTATCATTCCTTTCTACAGAAGAAAGACAATTCAGATATTACTGAAATTAAAGCACAGGTTTTGTTGGGGAAGAAATTCAGGGATAGAGAAATTGCAGAGCATGTATAAGGCTGTCTCTGGGGCTTCAAGACAAAAAAGCACTGTTCAAAGAGTGGAACACATGCTAGACCATTACATCTGGTGCTTTTTTATTAGACTTTTGATGTGGGATTTCCCTCTGTATGCTGTGAATATGGTTCCCCCCCGCCCCATCAGTTAATAAAGAAGCTGCTTTGGCCAATGGCTTAGAGAATACAGCCAGGTAGGAAATCCTAACAGAGATATATAGAGACAGTAGGTGGAGTCAGGGAGACACCACGTTGCTGCTGAAGGAGAATGATGCTGCAATGCTGGAATCTTACCAGTACGCCACACTCACATGGCGACACACAGATTAATAAAAATATGTAAATATAAGATAAAAGAGTTAGCCAGGAATATGCCTAAGCTATTAGCCAAGCAGTGTTGTAATTAATACAGTTTCTTTGGGATTATTTCGGGTCTGGGTGCCTGGGAAACAAACAAGCAGCCGCCACCTACAGACTTTAGTACTTTTACAGACACCACACGTTCACTTAGAAAAGCAGTATTATCATTGAAGGCAAAATGGCATCTACATATTTCTGTATAAGAGGAATACATGAGTACATTAAAAGAATATTAAGATCATTCTGATAATGGTTTAACAATTTAATAAACTCATTTTATTCAAGTTACCTATCCAGAATTAAATGAGTTATATTTTACGTATAAATAAGAAGTCTGGATGATATTATAAGGAAGGGACATCACATATATTTGCATGTATTTTTCATAGAGTTATTGTTATAAAATAATGTAAATTAAGTGAAAAATCCAGATTACGGTGTTCATGACTAAATTTGAGAAAGGCACACCCACATGATACTAAAATAGAAAATACCTTCATGCTGTGCCTAATAATTCAATTCTAGGTTCATAGTAGTCTTGGATATTGAGGTATTTATTATGTTAAATATTGGTTTTGCTTGGATCTTATTATTACTATGTGTTGGTTCTTCCTCCTTGGAATAAGACTATAACTTAATTATTATTTTATAGAAACCCATGGTTGAGAGACTTTGAACTTTAAGTTGATGTTGGATTTTTAAGAGACTGAACTTTTAAAGTGTTTGAATTTTTTTTTCAATTATATGATTTTATCATTTCCCCCTTTTCTTTTCTCCCTCCAAACCCAACATGTACCACCCACCCATGTTTTCAAAGTCATGGCCTCTTGTTCTTTAATTTTTGATGCATATTTTTGTGTATGTGTTTATGTATGTGTGCATTCCTAAATATATAAATATAGCTTGTACAGTCTGTATACCGTACCCATGAAGTCTCACCAACAGGGCTGTCTAAACATGACTTGAACAAGGATAACACCAATAGACATGTTGACATGGAAGGAGGAAAACTTATGAGGTTTCTACCCTAGACACAGAACTAAAACAGTAAGATATTCTGGAATCAGAAGAAGTAGTCTTCCTGAGGGAAGAGAACACCAATTGGTTATCCAACACTAAGTGCACATCCCTGGAAAATATGTACATACAAGTATTTGAATGTTTTAAAGTCTGTGGAACTTTTAAAGTTATACTGTTTTATATTACATTATTAACATCAGATTTTTGGGGATAAACAAGAAAGGAAATTATTATATTAATTTAATAATGATGTTTTTGCATATCAAGTTGATAAGGGATCATTTGTGCTGACACAAGCTAAAGACATCTGAGAAAAGAGAATCTTAATTGAAGATTGCCTCCGTCAGATTGCCTTTAGGCAAGTTTGTAAGTCACTTTCTTGATTAACAGGTGATGTGAGAAGGCCAAGCTCACAATGGGTGGCAGCACTCCTGAGGCGGTGGTCTTGTATAAAAAAAAAAAAGCAAGTAGAGAAAATCAGTAGGCCGCATTATTCCATGAACTCTGTTCCAGTTCATGCTTGAACTTCTTCTCACCCCTCAAGGATGGAGTATAATTGTAAAATGGCACAAGCCTTTTCTGTCGAAGTTGCTTTTGGCCAGTGTTTTATCACAGTAACAGTAAAGCAGACCAGGACCTGTTGAAAATAATTACTTTCCTATTTCAAAGGTCAAATGATGAAACAATTCACCATTAACAGAAGATCAAGTGGTCAGAGGAAAGAAAAGAACTAGAGGCCTGCTGTAATGCCGATATGATACAGTCACAGAGAAGAGCAAGAAACTAAACACATGCCACAGAGAGATATGATGTTTTTAAAATGATTTAGGACTCCTGTCTGTTCAGTTTCAATTCCTAGACACAAAGGCCCGTGTTTCTATGATTAGTTCAAGATTCTTTCTAGTAATCTCTGTGGATTTATTTGTGTAGTATTTTTACATCTCATGCACTAATTATAAGAATGTGCTACTGTTTCTATAGCCATTGTAGCTCATTATAATTATTTGTTATTCACTTGTGTCATAGGTATCCCTCATATTTGGCACCAGAGGTAATTGCACAAGGAATTTTCAAAAGTACTGATCATGTGCCAAGTGAAAAACCATTGCCCTCTGGCCCCAAATCAGATGTGTGGTCTCTTGGGATAATTTTATTTGAGCTTTGTGTGGTACGTATAAAGAAGTATTAAATTAATAAAAAGATTGTGTGTTCATTAGAATTTACTTTTTAGAGAGAAAGTTTATATAATAATGAAATAGTTTTCTGTGCAAATTGACTCTAAATAAATAGAAAAGGCGTATGTCTCAATTTGGCTTTATTTCTATTTTATCAGATAGAGAGAGGGAGACAGAGACAGGGCTAGAAAGATAGAGTATATGAGTATACATATATGACATACTATGTGTGCCTGCTGCCTAGAGAGGCCGGAACAGTGCATTGAATCCTCTGGAAGTAGAGTTACAGACGGTGATGAGCTTCCATGTGCGTGCTAGAACCAAACCTGGGTCCTCTGCAGGAGCATCACTGCTTTCACTGTTGAGCCATGTCTCCAGTCCCCCTTCCCAGTTTCTTTCTTCATTTTTATTGTATAAACTAGTTACTGGTTGCAGGCCTTTCAAGGGAATCTTACCCCTGGTTCTCCTCCCACCCCACACCCCCGTTTCTTCCTGACTGCCATGAGGTGAGCATACTCCTCTATTGCATGTTCCTACCACCATGATATTCTGCCTTACCTCGGGCCCAAAGTCTTGGAACAGACCAAGCATGAACTGAAATCTCAGAAATTATGAGCAAAATTAAATCTTCTCTACTTCTGTGTTGCTATCAAAGATAATTTTGACATAACCCTGAGAAACTCACAAAACACCAATCTGTTGTTTCTGTTATCTACAGAATTTCCAAATATTTTGAGGGTAACCCTCTCAATTTATCCTTATCCTTGCTAAGAATGTTTGACTTTTTTTCATTTTGTGCTTTTAAGATCTAATTTGATAACAATAAACAAATGTGCCAATTTGAGTTAAGTTTCGTGTTACAAGACATAGCTGTATTTTAGAAAGGGTTTCATTGTAGCCCAGGTTAGCCACAAACATTTTTCATGACTGAAGCTCATCTTGAATTCCAGGCCCTTTTCTTTCTCTCCCAGGTGCTAGAACTGGAGTTATACACCACTATTCACAATTAAAACCCAGGGCTTCATTCATGCTAGGTAGGCCTCAATCTACTTGAGCTACATTTCCAGCCCTATTATCTTTCTGTTACTACAAGCAAACAAAATTTACAAGACTTAATTTGGATTCATAATTACAGATTTTTGAGTCCATAATTACTTGCTTGTTGCAGCTCCTGAGTTGAGGCAGCATATGACAGTAGAGATGTTTACTGAAAAGGGTGAAAGAGAGTGCTACAAAGATGTCTTAGTAGTTAAGAGCATTTACTGCTCCTGAAGAAGACCCAGATTTGGTTTCCAGAACCCATGTCTGACAGCTCGCAACCATCTGTAGTTACAGCCACATGGGCTCCAACACCTCTGACCTCTGTGGGTACCAGCATTCATATGCACACACCCATACATAGCCAAAGAGAGAGCAAGAGTGAGAGCAAAAGAGAACAAGAGACAGAGAGAGGGGAGGGAGAGAGAATATTTAAGAGTGTGTACATACAAAAAAAATGGTTCCACTGTCCCATTTAGGGGCATACCCTCAATGATGAAGCAATTTTCCAGGAAGCCCTGCCTCTTAACTTTTCATCACATCTCAATAGCAGTGGACTGGGGACTAAGTCTTCAACATACAGGATTTTGAGATACATTCCAGATTCAAACTCTAGTACATACTTAAACTCTAGTACATGTTAAACTCAAGGACCACTGAAGTAATAGAAAACTCCTATTGAAGAATTAAATCTCAAGACATGGATTCCATTTCTACAAATAATATTATCTGTTTTTATAAAGTTATTGGAAAATATATGAAATAGTACAAATATGCCATACTATAATTTGTTGTATGACAGACTATAAATATTAGATTTTACTATTAATAATATTAAAATGCAACATGATAGTTTATATATTGCTATTTCATTCTCTAAAGAAAATCCCATATATCCTGATTCTGGTGACTGGTGAGTCTTCAAGTCCAGTAGGGTATCTCCTCTGAGATTTTGGGGGTCTTAGGCTCCTTGATCTGGTCTGACCTCTGGTAAAGCTGAAGTCTACTTTATTCTGTATATCTGGCCTGGCCTCTGGTAAAGCCTGAGTCTTCTTCTGGAATACATAGAACAAGCCTGGTGTTTGGTAGAACTCCTGTGACTGTTGTTCCATCTAGTGTGGATTGTACCTGGGCCTATGGTGTCTGTTCTTCCAACTGGTGTGGACTATGTCTGGGTCTGTGGAGTCTGCTGGAGTTCTGGGGAAGGGCTGGACATGGGGAGGATGAAGAGGTAGGAGGGGTTGGTGGCACTGTGGATTCTTTGAGGAGCAGAATCCAGGGCATGGTGGCAGTCTATCCGGCAGGCTTGTCACAGCCTAGTCAGCTGCTGCACCAGGGCAGTGGGATGCCTCTGGCGTTGGGGCAGAGCCCAGCAGTGGTACTGGTACTGAGATGGGAGTGGCAGGCCACAGAACAGGAGGGTCACTAACTGGTTGTGGGTGACTCTTTCTCAGGGGTTGGCAGCAGTGCCCAGCAGTGGGGTGGGGAGTAACTGGGAAGGCAAGAGCCTAGGGAAGGGTTGTGAGGGAAGCCTGGAATCCTGGGTGGGGTGCAGTTCCACTGGCAGGAGGGTCACTCACCTGTTCTGGCTGGTATGGTCTGCTGTAATGTGTATCTTCAAACAGCCTGTAGTACCACCTATTCTGGAGGCTGAGCTAGGAAGAACCAAGCTTGAGGCCAGACTGGAAAGAGTATCTTAAAGTAAGAGTATAAAAGGGCTAGGGACAGAACATAGTGATACCATGCTGTTCTAGCAACTGTGCCAGTTTAGCATACTTGAGTCCTGGGCTGGCCCCAGCTCCAAAAGCAACAAACACGGCATAAAATCTCAGGCACTATTGGAACACACAGAATGCCAGTCTGAAGTAGCTTGAGAGAAAGAGGAACTGCTGTGGGTTGTTATCAGTGTGAACAATAGAGTACTTCAACATGATACATAACTGAGGATTCCAGGGGTAGACTTCAGGTGATCTGGAAAAACTAACCATCAAGAATGTGTGGTTCTCAGAAGTGATCAGTGCCTGGGATACCATTTAGATCTAATGATTGTTAGGTTAGGTGGCTTAAATAATAAATATTATACAACTCTTAAAAATGTTATTTAACTATAGCTCTTTGTGGTCAAGCTTAATTTAAATAATCAACAAAACTCTGGTGATAAATGGAAGTGACAATAACCTTCAGTTATGATACAGAAAGATTCCTAGGGAAAGAAAATTCTAAATATTAATACTATTGTATTTGCCCATTATTTAGGGAAGAAAATTGTTTCAGAGCTTGGATATTTCTGAAAGATTAAAATTTTTGCTTACTTTAGGTAAGTTTCATTTATTTGATTGTGTTTCAACCATAAACATAATCTATAGAAACAGCTGTTGTCTGCATTGGAGTGTTCTCCTAGCACAGTAAAATGTGTGTCTTCAGGCTGATGGTGAGGTCACAAGGCATCATGAAAAGTGTCTTTTAAAATGTGTGGCTTTCTTTATTCATGAAGGAACTTGAACCTGCATGGAAAGAAATCTTAGTTTCATTATTTAATCAAGTAAACTATCTTGTATAATCAAATTAATAGAATTTAAAACTACTTCCATCCACCATGTCTAAATTTTGAGCTACCTTTCTATGTGACTAGTTGTGTATATGAAGAACTGTCTATGAATAGTGTCCACTTTTCTTTATAATTGGCTTATATATATTATGCTTGAAATTAATAGTAACAAATGTGATCTAATTTAGAGTGGAATAAGGAAAATGTGTGGTCATAAGAGAGAAAACCTGATAGACTATTTTATATAAAGCTTTGACACATCGACATTCCAGCAATAGAGTTTACAAATAATAAAATGTGTGGGAATAGTTAAGTATTTGAAAGTAATGAATTTTAACTAAATTGCCTATCTGATTCATGAAATTTTTTTACCAAGATGTTGTAATAAGAGCGGCGGGGCTGCATCCCCAACACCCCGGCCGCTTGGCTAGCTCAGGCCCGAAATAACAACACACAAACTGTATTCATTTAAGAACTGCTTGGCCCATGAACTCTAGCCCTTACAGGCTAATTCTCGCACCTGGACTAGCCCATTTCTAATGATGTGTGTAAGCACCCCAAGGTGCGCTTACCGGGAAGA